TACCAACAACTAGGTCTATTTTTAGAAACCTTCTGTTCTCCATTGCGGACAACTCAACGTTAAGTATCAGGCACCGTGTACAGGGCGATGGCTCAGGGCACCTCCAGAGATTGGGGCGGGATGTTAAGTTTGGTGGAGAACAGGAAACAGATCAACTACACAGAGACATAGAGGAGAGTGAGGAATATGGTCGGACATGGGACTTGGGGAGTGAAAGTATTCCAGTTCCAAGGGCACCAAGACATGAAGTGGAGGAACTGGTTTCAAACAAACCAAATTCCTTTGTGGAAATGAATGATCCATTTGAGTTTGTAGAAGAGAAGGTTGATACACCTTCTCAACCTGCACCACGCTATGGACATGCTGCTTGCATGTAAGGAACTTGTTGTTTACATAGCTCTGTTTTGTGTAACTACAGATTTGTCTGAAGTTTCCATTCCATTTTCTAGATTTTATGTACTGCCCAGTGTACTTGTGGTTTGTAATGGTTAAATCCTCAGAAGAATAAGATTTTCTATTCTTCTATTTCTCCAGTCACTATATTGTTGTTATTTTTACTGAGTATAATGATTGTTGTCTTTGAAAATTACAGAGAAGTTTCTGTTTACTCTTGTAATTAGTGGAAGACTGTTTTGCTATTACGAAATGTGTAGAATGAATTTATCTCTTGAACAATATCATTACCTGCACCAAAGGTCTTGCAGTGCAAAAAGAACATTTATTGTTACAATATGGGTTAATATATGTAAATAATGTATTACTGTTTGTAATTTTAGTAAATGTTAACCTGATGAAATCAGGCACAGGCTCCAGACTTCCATCCATTATATCTTCAGGTTTGGTTACTATCAGATCTTACCAGATTAAAATATGCTTAATCTTATTCTTTGTTTAGAATATTAGCCACACTTCATGGTATGGAGTTCACTTGAAGCTGTAAGTTCTCTATGCAAGACCATCATTCTCTCGATCCTATTACAAAACCCTAAATGCAATTCAGTACACGGCCAAGATTTTCTTTATTTGATGTTCTGTTGAAGAATCATCTTTATGGCTTGTCTGTTCTTTCAGACCAACATATCTCTTTACGTGTTGCTTGAGGTAATTTCAGGGTCTGTTGGATGTTTCACCATGTCATTTATAGTAACATTTAGATATTTTTATCTTTTTGACACAGTGTAACTCTCAAAGGACTCTGCAACAAATTCCATTTCTCTGACATAGAACTTTTTTCTTACAGATATCCTGGAGGTTTTGTAATATATGGGGGAAAGCTAGCTAATGGACAATTCTCAGATGAATTGTGGTTTTACAATGTGACGCAACGAACATGGTCATTGCGGGCAATATCATCTGCTATTCGACCTCCGAAGTTAACTAGACACACGCTGACACTCACTAGTGGGGATGAAGGATGGCTGTACCTGTTTGGAGGAAGCACTATTGGAGGAGTGTTTTCATCCAAGCTGTTCCGCATACAACTCAGCCTTGGTGAGAGAGCATCTTGTTATGTTCATGTTTTTCTTCAGAACCTCATTATTTGTATTTGTCATGTGTTGTTTCCTTTTATCGTGAAGCTTGGGTCTGAACTGACAAGTATTACTATGTTTAACTTACAGCTGATTGAGATGACTCAGGTGAGGCTTGCTCTGGCTAAATGGTTAAATGTCACATGACTGCACTCTTCCCATGTCAGAGGTTATAATATCCTTTGTTTACATTTTTTTAAGTCTATTAAAGGTACATGTAGACAGTTAATGTAATATGTACATAATTACAAGAATGAAGGAATATGTTATTAAAGTTGTGTATTGTAAGAAATAAGTTGGTATTATTGGGTTTCTTAATTTTATCCATCATATAGTATTCATCGCAGAGCACAACATTTCAAAAACTGCATCTCTTTGTTTCCTGTGGTGGATAGATTGTGAGTAGCTACTCAGATGGGTTAGTCAGTTAACTAAAGCAATATAAACCACTAATTGAGGTTTCATCAAATAGAGTTGTTAAGAAAATTTACAGTAACAATTCTGGAAATGGTTATAAAGACGTGAAACTAGGAAAGAAAAGAGAACAAGGAGTAACCTATCAAACCAAACCAAGAACATACTAGAAATACTAGACAGTGGACAAAGTTCAAAAACAAAGTAATACTAATTGTAGTGTACTATCATCAGAACTCTTTATAATTGAGTACTAATCATTGTAATTATTTTAGTTTAGTTTATTTTAAGAAAAACTTGGACAAGGAATGGATAGTTTAGTTATATGTGAGTATGTTTCTGTGATGCAAGTCTTAAAACAAAGCTTAACCATCTGGTGTTCTTTTATTTTGTCACATATCCCCCCTTCTGGGATGCATTTGATCTTGTTATGAAAGGGGAAACTGTTATTCATGTCAAGTGGATTCCACTGTAGTAAGGTGTATTGTTGTAGGTCCCAATGGCAACATTCATGATGAAAGGTGGTCAGAAGTTCGACCTCGAGGTGGTAAAGAGCTGGATGTGCGTATTGTAGCACACTCAACAGTATACCATGCCAAGACTAACTCACTGTTGGTATATGGAGGCATTGTTGCAGGAGTAGCTCGTTTCTCAAAATTGAGTGACCGCATGTTCTCATTTCAATTGGACAGCAGACACTGGTCAGAGATACATTATCCTCGCTCACACCTACAGGACATGCATGTTCCCAGAGAGAGAGCATTTCACACCAGCACTATCATAGGTTTGTACTAAATTTTTACAACAAAGAATTCAGAACAACCTATTCAGATTTATGTATGAAAAGATCTAATTTTAAAACTGTGGGCTCCCAGATGTTACTTACTTTGTTTCTAATGCTGAAATATGATCTGAAAAGCTACAGATTTTTAAACTGATGATGATGATGGAAACAGCACTGGAATAATAATTGAAAGAACAGGACACTAATTTCTGTGGGCATGGGATGTAGAAACTCTTTCCATGATATGACATGTCTTAGTCTTTATTGGGTGTGTGTAGAAAGTAACTAGTGAACTGTAAGGGAGATTGAATTATCCTTATAAAAGATTCAGTGAATCATTTAAAGGTAAATACATGTCTTGTAAAACTTTATCTTGCCACCTATTTCTTCTCAGATGCCTTTAATTTGTTTGCTCAACAGGAAATTATTTGGTTGTATTTGGTGGCTACTCTCATCGCCATAACAAGGAAGAGATCTGTTACGACAACCAGTTATACTTGTACCACTTGGGCTGCCACACCTGGGTTAGCCATGAAATTCTTGGCAACACTGAAAAGGGTACGCTTCATTTTTAAAAACATTCTCAGAACAAATTATTCACACACTAAATTGCAGAACAGCCGAGGAAATGACAAGGACTGAAGGCAATAATGATACTACAGTAGCTAATGCTTGGGAAATGTGGATAACATTTATGTTCAGAAGCAGATATATTCGGATTGTTGAATATTTTAAGGCCACCAACATTAGAATAGCAATCTGGACTAACAATGCCTTACAAAAATTATTAAAACCTAAAACCTATATATATTCTTGCAATGTGTGAGCTAAAATGTCCTGACTGTAACAAGGTATATGTTGCCCAAATGTTAAGAAATCTCTAAACCAGGTATCAGGAACATGTTAGTGACATTAAAAATAATAGGAACGGTTAAAAATTTGGCACCCATTTACTAAATAATAAACATTCTTATGGGCCAGTAGACCACATAATGTCTAAAATAGATCATGCTAATAAAGATTTATTAACGAATAGCAAAGAAAGTTTGCACATTTGTATAAGTGACAAGAAAAGTATGCAAGCATAAAATAGAGATGTAACCGAAGAACATAAATTTACGGTGCATTGAATTTGTGACACAATTTAATTTTATATGTATTAAATGGTACACAGTCATATTTTCTTACTTAAATGTTATACTTGTCATGATTTCCTTAGTGTCTGTCTTTGTGTGATTGCAGTTTCACGTTATCCAAAGCAACAAGGCGTGTTTGCACATGCAGCTGATGTACGTAATGGTAACACATTAATTATAGTTGGTGGGTACCATGGAAATGTGAATGCTGACCTCCTAGCATACACTTTGCCACCAATGTTAGCCAGCAGGGAAGGAGAGACATTTGAGCCAGAGCAAGTTTGCAGCAGGTCAGAAGCATTTGTTTACTACAAATTGCCATACTTTTTTCACAATAAAATAATTTAGAATTGCTTAAGTGGGTAACTGATAGGATCCTTATATGCATAAAAAGGAGCCTCTAACTATTTTGTTGGGAATCTTAAAATTGAACTTGAACATTTGGGTGTCTTTATAGTAATGTAAATAAAGATTTTTACTGTTTATTTTGTTGTTTAGTTTTCTTACATTCAGAAATATAGAAATGGATATTTCGTTTGTTTGTCCTGACAGTGCATGTCCATATATGTCTGTGTGTGTGTTACTTGTCCAGATATAAATTTGCCAGCAGTGTACATACTCTGATTCTTTTGCTTGATATAAAGAAATGGCAATAAATTGCACAACGGGACCACAAAAGTGTAATAATGATCTTTTTTCCCTGGAGAATAAATACAGTGCAATAGTGTTTATTCTTTGACCTTGTACAAATCTTTTAAAAAATAAATGGTGTTTATCTGGAAGAAATATGAAAAAAGTAGTATGTAATTGGGTTTAAAGAATGTATTGCAGTCTTGCCAATTTGCACTTACCTGCCTGAATATGAATGTTTTAGCACATATTATCCCAACGTATGCATATTTTAATACAGCTGATTTTTACTCAGGTACCGCAACAAAGTAGAGTGCACATCAAATCCAGAGTGTGGGTGGTGTTCTGCAGATGAGGTGTGTTATGGCCGCACTGTTGGGATCAACTGTACTACAAACCTACAGACAACACGATGCCCTGGAATTTGTCCAGCTCTTGGTGACTGTCATTCATGTCTGATTCACGGCAATGCTTCAGGTGGTTCGTTGTCTGTGTCTGGTTCAGGTGATGGGGTGGCTGGGCAGATTTCATCAGTGGCTCATAAGTTAAGGCTGGACCAGTGCACTTGGTGTGTTCAGAATGCTCGCTGTCATCACAAGGATGGTATGAATAGAGAGATGTGTGTGTGTATATGTTTAACTCTTCCATTGTTAGCAAATACTATTGTACAAATTGCGTCAAAACTGGAATAGTGACTTAAATAAGGATCTGGGTCAAATAATGGGAACTGTTTACTCAGAACTGAGGTAGTACTACAGATTTAGCAGGAATTAACCTGTTGACGCGGAATTTTAAATACCCAGCATATATCGCTGTTGTGCTGTTCCGGCGGTAGTAATTTTTAAATGCCCGTTTACATTTTGCTGTAAAATACGTTTTTTTCCATAACTTTTGAACTATATGAGATATAATTATGAATTTTTCACTGAAATCCTCTTAAAAGATGGTTTTGTAATCTTACCTTATAAGATGAGCTCTCTGTGTGTGACCAATGGGAGCAAATGGATCAGATGTTGAGAACGGAGTGTACAGCAGCCCGTTCTTTGCATAATAAGATCTGATTGTAGGCTTTTGAACAATGCCCATCAACATAAATAGAGCCAAAACCACGTAAATTTCGTCTACTGTGACATCTTGCCACTTCCTAATCCTAGATCGAAATGTGAGAGGATGGGCACTTTTAGAAATTTCTTGCTTAGCATATCTGTTGGTTTCATCTACAATGAGCTGCACAAGAGCTGTATCGAAAATGATTTCGAATGAACTCACGACATCTAGTCCAGCCGTGTCGAACCGAGGACCATATACATTACAAAATGCTTCTCTTGAAGCAGTAAATGGTTCTATATTTTCCCACATATACTTGCCGGAAACAATACCTGAATTTGCTTCTACAATTTCTTCCTGGCTTTCGCCACCACCATTGTTACTCTCATTATCACTAATCGCTAACGTTCCCGGTGTCACCAACTGTGTATAATCAAAGTCTACACTCTCAGTGTCCGAGCTACTATAATTGTCACTTCCAATAATTCGTCTAGAAGTGCCCTTTGTTCAGCATCAAATAACACACGACTGCTTGAAGGGTTCTCAATTGTAAAACTGAGGCCAGTCGTCTATTTTTAGACTCCCAGGTAGTCCTTTAAGGGTTTGTCAACAAGGTTGCCGGATCTTCACACACAGAAAACTTTCCACAACAGAGTGCTACAAACCTCATTGCGCTGGCATTAATCGTTACAAAGTTATGAGCTGAAGAAATTAGGCTTAAAGCCGGACGTAATACTACGCACAGCTGCAATCCCCAGGATTTAAAGGCCGGGCGTAATTTTACGCCACTCGGCGGTGAGGAGTTAAGTATAATATTCCAAGGCAGCAAAAGGTTTCCAAAAGTTGGTTGAGATATCACCAAAATTATAGAAGCTGAAGAAGTTCTGGTTGTAGACCAGCTTTATAATCCTGATCGCAAGGATGTGGACTATTTTCTGACCTAGCCATGATGAGATGAAGCAGTGGTAAGACTGGGGGAATTTTAGTCAGGGTTAGTTATGTGATATAATGTTAGAATCGAGAGTCCTCTTCATGGAATGGTGTCATTATTGGCAGTTTTCATAACTAACTTGTTCCATAAGTACAAGTTCTGCAGTCAACATCCACTTATACTTATTGTAATTTTAATTTACCTGTGTTAGAACCTTTAAAATTGATTAGTATTACTAGGATAAGTTGAGTTGCTAGATTGTATTCACACTGGATCTTACGATGGTTTTACGATGCATTGCAGAATTATTATTCCCACAATTATCCAGTATTATTTGTTGTCTCATAATGAGAAACATTGTACTGCATGTTAATACAGTCTTTTATGTCAGTCAACTCATCACCTTAACTCCAACAACTGAGTAACTGTAAATTGATGGCCAGAGGGGAGAAGTTGTTTTTCCTAAAATCATGGGTGAATGTGGAGTCTCTGCTCACATTTCACATGTTTTTGGGAGGTTTAGATCTGTTGAATGCATTGTAGTGTTACATTCCTTGAGTTAAGATGAAGAACTCCAGTAGTTTTCCATTCTTTGCAGATAACTTTGGAGTGTGTGGTCTGCGAGAGGACACACCATCGCAGGTTCCAGGATGGTGGGGGTTGAAAGGCACGGAGGTAGTGCAGGTTGAAGAGTGCCGTGAGTTGGACCGCAGACCAGGCCTCACATTCCTCAAGTACAAGAATCCTGCTAACTGGTCTCACCCAGATTCAGTATGAAGAGCAGTTATTTACGTTAACAGTTTGTTCATCTAGAAAATGTTCACTTGTGTTAATTATTAGGGTATGGCATTTGAGTTGAGTCCTCTAGTATGACATATAATACTAGCCCATCAGTATCTGAGTGGAAGACAGTATTGTGGATATATGTCAGTGTTGTAACAGTGTGAGGCAGCAGTGACCTCTGTTCACATTCTTGCAGCAGTCTCCAATAATTAATTTGGTTTACAGTAATTATTTATTTTAATCCGTCTGATCACAATATTTAAAATTTCTTATAATTAAGATAATAAAATATCATTCATGTTCCGTATCGATTGATCGATTTACATTTCGGAACATTTACACAACATGTTTCAGTTTTTATAAAACCATCATCAGGTGTAAAATATATCTAAGAACTTAAAACTCAATTATGATTTCTGTAGTTTTTTGGTGATGTTTCATTACGTTTGTTTTTCCATTTTTGGGCGAAGGTGTTGTTTTTCTTAAATGTTATTAGATGTACATATCGGCCGATCACAATATTTAAAATTTCTTATAATTAAGATAATAAAATATCATTCATGTTCCATATCGATTGATCGATTTACATGTTCCGAACTGTAAATCGATCAATCGATATGGAACATCAATGATATTTTATTATCTTAATTATAAGAAATTTTAAATATTGTGATCAGACGGATTAAAATAAATAATTGTTATAATATTCACAATATGACGCAATTACACTATCTTGGTTTACAGTGTTGCAATGATGTGCTGGAGCAATTACCTCCTTTCAGATTGTTGCAACAGTGCTCCAACAGTAGAAGATGTACAGGCATTTTTATATCCATGCAGAACTGTGTTGGTGAATGTACTGGTATGTTTGTACTCATGAAGGGGTTAAACTCTTTATTAAGCTGTCATTATAATTAAGTCTTTATTTGTGATTTTAGGTTACAATAATCAATGCAACAACAGTGGATTTTAATATGTTGAGCCTGTCCACGCGTACTGAGCAAGCGCTGGGAGGAGGGATTATTGCACGTCTCCTTGGATTCTTGAGGCCTCCTGAGAGTTGGGGTAATGATGAGATGTTGCGTGTGTGTGCTAGTTATTCAGTTGCTCTTCTCAACATGTCTCATGACGCAGAGTATGGGAAACTGGTGAGTATCTCATGTAGCTGCACATGTTACATTTATTTTTACTGTGATCTCTAAAGCCCGACATCTTTGTGTATTAAATTTTTCAAGTTTAAAACCCTACTCTGGTCATGAATTATGTGTCCACCCCTTGCTCATAATGAACATTTTAAAACTTGCTAGTTTGTATAATATTAAAGGGGAATGTGTCTTAATGTTTAATCCAGTGGCCCCCAACCTTTTTGTGCCTACGGGCACATTTGAGAGTTTATGAGATCGTGGCGGGCATCAACCAATTAACAAAGCCAAATTTTCTTTTCTCTGGACACCAAATAATACACAAAACAACACGACGTTTAATGATACAAGAAACCATTCAATCAAAAATACGTACTTTTATAAGCACAATTATTATTATTCAAGTGGGAAGTTAGTGTGATGTTTGACACTGCATTTCATCGGCCAGTTTTTCAAATTTGGGAGTGTAGGATGATGGATGATGACGCTGCTCACAAACAATCGTCAAGATCGGCATCAGTAAGTCGAGGTCTGTGCTTTGATTTTATAATGTTCATGGCTGAACGGCCTTCATTATTCAGCATAACCTCTTTCCGTATCAACGCGAGCACCCAAAAAAAGCCATGGTGCCCATGGGCACCGCGTTGGGGACCACTGGTTTAAGATGTTACCCTATAACTTTCCCATGTAGATCTTTTGTAATCATTCCCAAACAAGTTTATCTTTATGTCAGATGTGGATAAGTTTATACTAGTGCATCGGGTGTTTTGATATGAATCTTGTGTGAAGTTTCACTCTGGTAGGAAGAATTATTGGAAATCTAGAAGAAAGTGTCTTGAGGTTCAAGTTTTTCACAGAAATTCTGTTAAAAAGTGCGTCAATAGAAACAGTTGGCATGGTAATTGGAAATCAGAATGTCAGCATTGGATGTTAACAGGAGGAACGTAGGTTGTTATCAGAGCTCAACATTTATTTCTGCCCATGTGAAAAAACAGTCCCCTTCTGAGCCAATGAGGAATATTTACATCTCCTGTAATTTAGATTAGTAAACTTTACCTTATGAGCCGGCATAGCTCAGTCATTATAGTGACTGGCTACGGACTGGGCGACCGGGGTTTGATCCCTGACGGGGGCAGAGGATTTTTCCTCTATCCTCTGCGTCCAGACCGGCTCTGGGGCCCACCCAGCCTCCTATCCAATGGGTACCGGGGTCCTTTCCCAGGGATAAAGCCGGCCGGTGCGTGATGCTGACCACTCACCCCCATCTAGTGCCGAGGTCAAGAATAAGTAGGAGCTATACCTCCACTCCCCCAAGTGCCTACATGGCATATAGTAGGACAGCTTTACTTTAAACTTTACCTTACAATGTTACTACAGTCTCACTATCACAGCAGCCGACCAACTGGAAAAGGCAGTGACTAATGCACTGTTCACACACAGTGAAATTGCCATGCCATGGCGTAGCTGTCAAAGTTTCTTCCTGTATAATGGAGTGTGTTCGATGAATGTGAACTTGCAGCAGATGGTTGCTAACTTGACAGCGGAGATGTCACAGTGTGTAATAGCCCATTGGCCGTCTGGCAAACCAGTTACGCTCACACCAGGCCGATACTTGGTGGACTTTGAATCTCGTACCACAAGAGGCCCATATGCCCCACATCACCAGTGCAAGATGGAGCTTCATCACAACAAGAGCTCTGAGAATGCCAAGGTATGAAAAAAAAAATTTTGTTCAGTACTTGGTTAATTTCTTATAGTTATAACATTTTAAAGTCATCGTGTTTTGTAAATATATTTTAAGTACTCTTCCAGGTTTTTCTGTTGTGCTGTATTGTGCTATTAATATATTTAGCAGATGTCACAGTTAGTGAACAGAATGCCCTCTTCATATATTCTGCCTGAAACACTTTATTTCAGCATGCTACTCAAACTGAATTACATTGAACTATCATTACAGAATTCTTCACATTAACATACTTTTTTAAAATAAATGTACATTTTTATTAAATATTTCAGTTTTAGATAATTTATTGTCATCAGTTTTATTATGATGTAGGAAAGTCTAAGAATCCTTATAAATAAACACATAAGAATTGATTTGTCAGGGAAATGATTTCACCAGTTAGTGCTGATCATTTTGTTAACTTCATTTTTCTAATCTAAATAGGAGTTCCTTCTTTAATTTATTTTGTGTTCAGTGTTTATTAAAACAAGTCAAGTCTCTCAGAAGTATGTAGTAGTGAGGTTTCAATGTAATGTGCAGTGGCCTTCATCTCTGTCCTGGAGTTCACATGCTATTGGGTATGAGATCTGAATCATATTTCAGAAGAAACTTCTTTCAACATACCATCATCAGCTGTCTGAGCAGACAAACAGACTAGAAATGTGTCAGTATTGTGTTTGACATGCTAATTTTTGTATCAGTTAACATTTATAATTTTAAAGCATAGTATTTTATGATAACTGTACAAAACTTTATTTTTCTCGATCTTGTAGGTGTTTACATTTGAATACCTAGAACCATATGAGAATGGATCATGCCATCAGTACACAAACTGCCTACACTGTTTGACTGATTCACTGTGTGGCTGGTGTGATTTGAACCAACGCTGTTATTCACGCCATCTTGATGAAATGGAAGTGTGCACTGCAGGTATGTATGTGTTTGTAATTAGTGCATTGTTTTTATGCAGATCAGTAGATGATTCAGTAACAGGCACAATTATACTTTTCATCTTCCATGACAAGTCTGTGACAAACATTGTGGTCTAGTGGTTAGCGGTTCTGCTTTGTATTTGAGAGGTCCCAAATTAAAATCTCAGTCTGAAGACTTCATGGCTTTCTCCAGTCTCTCCAGGCAAATACTGTGATAGTACTTCAAATTAGACCATGACCACTTCCTTCTACATCCTTTCCAGTTCATTGTTTTATTAATCATTATCTCATCTGATGCTATATAGTCGGAGCTGCTATAAGCATTGTTAAGTGAACTATAAATAAAATAAATAGACAGGTCTGTAGTTGTAAGATTTGAGGTTTTCATAGTGGTGTGGTTATCACCATCTCTTTGCCTTCTCATTTTTCTTCCTCTCAGCTCATTAGCAGCTTCAGTAGGTTGGCTCCACGTGTACTGTAAAACAGCCCTCCTCAAATAGTCTCTTCTTATAATAATGATGAGATGGTTTACAGATTGAGAACTACATCTGAGTGTGGTGTTGCATTGTTATGTCAAGTTTCCATAATTTCTTAAAGTTGTTGTCAGCCAATCCTGAGGTACCATAGAGATTCTTAGTAGTTCCAGCACTTTCCATATCGATGAAATGTAAGAATAGAAATATTGACTAATTGAACTCTAGTTAATAAAAGATGGAGAGCAGTAAATAACTTCTTCATGAGGTAAGTTAATGAGGTATTAGTGGCCCAATCTGGATGGAAATAACTGTGATGTTCGTGATAGAGCAGTAGTTAGCAGTTAAAATAGAAAGATTAAGAAAGTTTTAGCGTAAAGGACACTTGTTATGTGAAGTGACAAAGAAATTGATGGTATGTTCTGATAATAGTAGTGACATGCTAGTGATGATGCACCTGATGTAAATATAAGTACTAATGTTCTCTGGACATTCCTCTACACTGTAACATTTAACTGGATTGATACAGCATTTAGCTGTACTAAGATGTCTGTGCATTACTGTATAAGATGATGCTTTTCCTGTGTAATATTTAGAATTACTTATAAGAGTCCTTTTCAAGAGCATAATACTTTCTTGCACAGGATCAGACACAGATGAGTGGCATTACTTCACATTGCTCCCATTCAGTTGTGCTAATTGCTCCAACTACATTAGTTGTGAGAGCTGTGTTAGCAGTGGTCTCTGTGAGTGGTGGACTGAAGATGCTCGCTGTGCCAGAAGGGGGAGGTGAGTTTATTTTGGAGCTTTTCTGGTTTTAGGGATATACTGCCCGAATACAAATTTCACCATGAATAAGATAATGATTTCATCTGTCAGTATGTGTTAAGTAGGGTAATATACTTCCAAAATCTTAAATTTATGCTTTGTTCCCCAGATTGTGTCATAGTATAGCTTGTCTGTTATGTGACATTCATCTAACAGTTTGAAGACATTTAGATGCTCTTCACCTGCTATCTGATTTCAAAAGAAAATATGGGTTGAATCCAACACTGCACACTTGTTTTAGGGGTACATGACATCACTGTTAACATTATTTGTTGTATGTTTATTTTTATTGAAGCTCACGGGTTGGAGACTATAACAAGGAACCACAGTGATTCGAATAATAAAGTTGTTCAGC